ATTTAGAGAGAGTGCAAGCAGGGGAGGGGCAGAGAGAGCAGGAGAGAGAGAATCCCATGCAGGATGTGCGCTGTCAGCACAGACCTTGACTCAGGGCTCTAAATCACCAACTGTGAGATCATGACCTGAGCCGAAACCAAGAGTTGGATGCCTAACCGACTGAGCCACCCAGGCGCCCCAAACTACAACAACTTTTTAACTGGTGACTGCCACTTGTCTTTCTTCCTCCAGCCCCAAGCTACTATGACTTCTCAAACTCATGTGTGATTGATTATACCAGCCATAATTTAAAAATCTTCAATGATTCCCTACTGTTTAAATGGTACAATTCAAACTCCTAACTTTGACTCACTTTCTTTCTCAAAGCCTTTTCTCTGGTTATGCTGAAGATACTCCCCTCACACAGCATGCTCAGGCAAGTCATTAGGCCTTTGCTAGGCTGTTCCCTGCCTCTAATGACCATCACTGGCTCCTCTCTCTCCAAAGAGCAAATTCCCAACTATCCTTTAAGACTTGGCTCAAATGCCACTTTCTCTTTGTAACCTTACCATACATCCCCAAATTTACTGTTCCCTCCTTTATAGGACTATGACATTTTGTTCATGTATTATACAGAATATATCACTTTGAAATGCAATTATATATGTGTCTTTCTCTCCCAATAAACTACGAAATTTTCCAGAGCAGGAATCATGTTTTATTCATATTTACATCTCCAGTGCCTAAGATAAAACAGGTGCTCATGCTGAATGAATGAGTACTAATGATGATGACAGGCTTCCTCAGTTGTAAAGTGGAAAAGTACAGCATGCTCACAAACAGTAACATTACAAATAATGTACAGAAAAATACCCAGATATATTTTACCGTGGCTGTTACTCAGTACCTAAAAGGTGTCAAACAATCTAGGCCTGTTCCAAATAATAACCTAAAAAATTATAAGGCCCTGGGTTTCCAATCTGTGACTACACAATCTCTAGGTAGGTTGTCAGTAGTATATCTACATAAATGAAATGACATTTCTTTCTGAGATGTCATCAGTGATCTTCCTGAAATACAAGGAAAGCCAATGAGACTGTTTTTCAAAAGACACATATAATCTGTATTAAGATACTAGTTACAGAGAAAATAGTTTATAAGAAGAACTACAAGTTCCAGTCAAAAGGACATCTGCTTCTCACACGGTAATTCTATGTAGGGTGCCCAAAGATGAGTAGCAATAGGGATTTTTAGTTTAACGATGGTTAATAAATTTCCCTAGCAATGTAGGGTAAGCCGCTCTAGTATAAAATAATGAAGAATGTCACAGGGATTCTTATTTTCATTATAATATGGATCAGGCTCTGACTGAGGTACCCAAGAGTTAAGTATTATTCTAACAGGGTAAGTAAAAACTGATGGCCATGTGCTTCCTCTGAATTAACAGAAATTTAAAATGATCTGGAAGCTATGGTACAAAACTGCCTAATTCAGCATCTAGTCTTTAAGCAGAGGAACATTTAATCATTCCATAATGAACATCTTATGCCAGTGCCCAGTGTTCACTTATAAAAGTAGGGACAGCAGCAGTAGTACCAGCGATAGCAGCTGCCGTTAGAAGTACTCCTTGTAGGCCACACACTAGCTGTAAGAACCTTACAGTTAATTCCTTTATAGTTAACTCAATAAGGTATGTATTGTTACTTCTCTTTTTCAAGCTAAGAAATGGAACTTCAGAGAGGTTAAGAAGCTTTCCCTTAAGTCACAGAGTCGCAGCCTCTTAAGTGGTACAGGCCAGATTCAAATCCAGATCTGATCCTAGTGGTCATGGCCTTTATCACGATATGAAAATAATGATGCTCATAACTGAACACTGACAGACCCAGAGAATTACAAAGAAAACTTTATAATGCACCTCCCCCCATACTCTTCTCAGAGATAATCAGGGTGAGTAGTTTGATATATTTATTGTATTGTATTTATTATATTGATATATTTATCTACCTTATGAATAGTTTATTTGTTTTATGTGTTAAAGTTATAGCTTACTAGGATATGTTGCCTTCATGTAAGAAGAATGATAAATTTTCATCAATATTTCCTAACCTTTAGCAAGTCATTTAGCCTTTCTGGTCTCAAATTCTTACATGAGTGGGAGATAGGAGTAGCTTGGCATTAATCTCTACTGTCTTTTACAACAATTTTGTTTCTAGGTCCATGTGAAATCATTCGTATTTTAATTTATGCTGACTTCTTCTTCTTTTCTGTCTTCCACAGACATGAAAGACATTTGCAGCAAGGCTTGGACTAACCAACATTTAAAATAAGATCTGACAACAAGGCCATTTCTAAAATAAGACACAAAACCAGGTGAAAGGCCAGTACTGCTGTGAGAAGAGACCAGCAGAGAAAGAAAACACTCAGCACTAAAAAGCATTCTTGTGCCAAATTATGGAGAGAGGCAAACTATATAAGGCAAGTCCATGAGCTTGGACTTGATGTTTAAGATAACAAAAGTACATTCAATACACATCAACCAACTTAACTACAAAAACAGCTTTTTAAAAATAAAAAATAAAGTTACCAAAAAAAGGTTGTACTACAGCCATAAATTGGTAAGTGGATTACTATAAAATGGTCACTGAGTGCT